TTAAACAAAATATATTATTAAAAATAATTTCATCTGTTTCTCTTCACATTTTTATTGTGGCTACTAGAAAATGTTTAATTACCCATGTGACTCACACTTACAGCTTGCACGATATTTCTACTGTACAGTGCTGTCTAAAACAGTTTCCGAAATTCAACGGCTGCAGCCTGCCTACCCCTTGGGTTACCTTAATGATGTGGACTATAAGGGCTTTGAATCTGGAATCCACCCACTGGCTGTGTGTCCTTGAGAAAGTCACTGAAATCTTCTGCATCTGTTGGAAATATGTCCTGCATCTCCAAAGCCAGCAAACAAACCAAAATAAACCCTCAGCGCCTCACAGGACTGTTGTGAGGATTAAATAAAATAATAAAAATAGCTCTACCATGGGCAACACAGTAAGTGCTTTGCATGCCTTATCTCTTTCCATCCCCACAGACCCCAGGAAGTTGGGGCAATGATTGCTCTCATCTTGTAGATAAGAAAACTGAGGTTGAGAAATGTTCAGTAACTTGGGCAGGGGCTCCTGGCCCCTGTGTTGTTCTCTCCCCTCCACTAGAAGTAGAAGGTATTAGGTAAACAAAGGGAAAACAAGAGCACAACTTCCCCAAGACCCTGGGCAAGTCCCTCTCCTTTGTGAGCCTCAGTGTCTCTTTCTGTAAATCAGGGAAATGCTTGGATGGTGGGTAGAGACCTTTGAGGTTTCAGTGTTAGGGGTGCGTTCACATCTCAGCGAACAGAAGCCTTCCAGGACTCCTCTAAAGTCCGATGCCTTCCATTGTCTATTTTGTGGGGATAAATGTGCGTTTCTGTTTGTTTTAATAACATTTGTAGGAGCTTTATATAGTGTCTATGTCTGCTTACATTAGGCGCTGTGTATTATAGTTAAGAGTCTTTCACGATTTCCCATATAAACCTAGTTTTTTATGAGTTTGGGGGAGCTCAGCTGTAAAAACTCTCTCAGCTGAAAAAATTTTGTTTCTAACAAATTGGGTTTAAATCAGGAGGCTGGTTTCAGACACTTTAGAACGTGCATATTTTTTCTTCTCAGTCACTCTTCATTTAAAAATGAGACTGGCTGATTTCTTAGTTTCGTTTCTTTTGTAAAGATTTAGCAAGACTATAAGTGTAACCGCTGGTTGCATAGAGAGAAGGTATCCAGTGCCTTTTCCATAAGAACGCTGTGTTTGAGGCGTGCCTTCTAATCCAGACTCAGCCTTTGACTGGCTGTGTGACCCTGAGCTTGTCACATCAACTCTCTTGGGTTTGCCTGTCCCTCATCTGTCCATGGGGAGCATTATTCCTGCCTTGGCTCTCTTCCAGATTATGGGGGGGAGAATGTGCCTATGGAAGTGGAAGTACCCGGGTAGGGTAAATGTGCCATGCGAACACCAGAGGCTACTGCAAAGAATAGCATGCTGAATTCTTCACCAGGAGAAAGTAGATTCCTGGAATCAGAATGTTACAGACGGGAAAGCACCTTGAAGCCCACCCTCTTCCTCATATTCTAGATGGGATCCACTCAGAGCCCTGATGGGGAAGAGGGTTCCAGGAGAATGCTGGAATTAGAATCCCAGATCCTTTCACATAACTCCTTCCTTCTTTTTTTCTCTACCTTGCTTTGGGAACTAAGGAAGATCAGACTGAGAGAAGCTGTATTTGGGCACATATGTGTGTGCACACACACACACACACCCTGGAGGTGCTCCGAGATGTGGGGAAAACCAGGTCTCTGGAGGCAGCCACGCTTGCACTTTGTTACAAATCCAATCTGCCATCCATGTGACCTTGAACAAAATTCTTCACCTCTCTGAGCCTCAGCTGCCTCAATATTGACCTCACAGAACCCTGCGAGGCTTATATGAAATAATGCACACTAAGAGTTTAAATACTTTGCTTTCCAAATGTTAGCTGTTATTATTTCATTCATCAATAGACTTTAAATGTAAGAAAAAAGACTGTATTTGCTGTGTACGAGGAATAATAAACTCTTCAAGACAAATATTTTCTGTTGCATGTTAATTGATCATAATTAGGATCTTATTCATTAAATTTATACCTACAGTGCCTAGCACATGGTGGGCACACAACAAATGCATGTTAAATAAATTGTGTATTGAACGTATACTGGCAACAGAAAAAATTAGAAGGAAATTGCAGCTTAATTTTTTATTACAAAAGTAATAGTTATTATAAGACATTTAAGAAAAATATGGCTAAGCAAGAGGAAAGAGGAAAAGTTAAAATTACCCTATTCCCACAAGTCAGAGGTAAAGGCTTGAAGGTTTTCATGTATATTCTTCTAATTTTTCTCCATGAATAATATTTATTTATTTTTACATAAAGAGAGTCACAATGGACAGTGTTTAGTGTAACGTGGGAGGAGATTTTCCCACTTAATATATCATGAACGATTTCCATGTCAATTGCCACGTGTTTTCTAATGGCTGTTGTAACCCACTATACTGATGGCTTTATTGAGCCAGTGCTGTTTTCCTGTGTTTCACTTTTTAATAGAATGGTCCTATAGTTAACATTTTGTAACATCAATATTTCCTTGCAATAAATTCCTGGAATTTACTTTTAAGTTGGTCATCATTCTTTTTCCCATTTTAAAAAAAGATGTATTTAATTCAAAAATAATAATGACCCTGCTTCTGCCACAGCTGATTTGGGGTGTCTGACAAACCTCGTTGAAACCTGGGCAGAGAAGTAAAGGTCAGGCTCTAAAGACGTTTTCAAAGAAGGGAGGGCTACGGAGGGGTGGGAGCCTGGAGAGCTGGGTGGCAGCGTGAAGGGCTGGACCCCGAGTCTGCAGACCCTCAGCACAGAATGGTTTGTGAAACCTGGGGCAGCTTCGAGCCGTTTTCTAGAGTCGGCTTTTCCAGCTGTGCCGCGGGAGCTGGGGATGTGGCGTGGGCATGGGAGGCCGCTGGAGTCAGGTGTGGGGAGAGTGGGGGACTATCCAGTGACCCCTCAATGGGCACCGGCTCCGTCTCAGCTCCCAGGTTCAGGGTCTGGGATTGGGACTGGACATTTCTGAGATTGAGTTTAGGGCTCCAAGGCTCTCTTCCCAGAGAGGATTTGGGGACAGCAGGATTGGGTTTTCTGAAGAGGACTGGTTATGCCAGATCTGGCTGTGGTGGCCGCGGGGCGGGTGCCCCTCAGCACCCCCTCTTCTTTCCCTGACTATGAGAAAGCAAGACCCGGGTGTGCATTCTTTCCGTGCCTAGGATACTTCACAGTGCTAAAAATAGTCCCCGGGGCTGGGACCTGTGTATGGCCAGCAGTCTGTGTGTGAGCGAAGCTGGAGACCTGGGTTCGAATCCAGATAAACTTCCCTCCGTGCTGTGGGGCTTGGATCGGCTCACTCCCCAAATCTGTTTCTCTATGCGCGCCGGAATTTCTAAACGGACTCCCAGAAAGAAACGGAAAGAAAAAAGGAAAAGAAAAAAAAAAAAAAAGTAAGAGAAAAAGAAACTTTGATTTTTCTCTCTGCTCCTCCCAAGGGGCCCTGGGGCCTCGGGCCGGGTACCGAAGCCGGGGAAGGGGTGCGTCGGACGGGCTCATTACCGCCAAGTGTTGCCCTAGTTAAATCGCGGGCCTGTTTGATCTGGTGGCGGGTGGCGAGAGGGAAAAAAGAAAAAAGTAGGGGGGCGAGAGAAGAGGGAGAAGCTCACACCTCCCCCACTGCTTCCTAGCGCCCATAAAACACCTTTTATTAACTCCTTCGCGTCCGGAAAGGCCCGCGTGGCCTCTCAGCCCCTGCTACGGTGTTTACAGCCAAGACTAATGGGGTCCCATATTCACCCCGACGCTGAGACAAGGCGCCTGGGACACGCCTGGTGCCCTGCGAGGCCCTGCCCCGGAGCTGCCCGGGGTCTCCTTTCTGGTTCCCAAGCAGAGAGCTCAAGCTCCAGGTGCGGAGAGCGAAAGCTCCAAGAGAGCCGCGCGGGTATCCCCGCCTCCTTCTCGGTGAGCGCCGCAGACCGGCAGGCTCTGCAGAGCGTGCGCTCCCTCGGGCAACCGTGGGAGCTGTTGGGAGACATGGAAGTGCTTAGCGCAGTGCCTAGCACACAGTTGCACGCAAACCAAAGTATTCGTACATAATCATTCCTGGACATGTAAACGACTGTATTTGCCCGCCCCAGTTTAGCCAAATACGCATCCAAGACCCTTGGCAAACGCACCGAATTTATACGCACCACACCTAGGCATGGCTGCGCATGTGAAGACACAAAGACTGGGCCTCCTGCACAAGTGCCCGAAGGAGCACGAATACACACACACACACCATCCCTTTGCACAAATCCATATGCTCTCGAAACTGTTTTGAGTGCTTTGTTGCTGGAGAGAAAACCTAAATCCCTCAGTTTAACCTATAAGCAGTCACAAGCTTATTTTACTCAGGTATAAAATAATAGCAGCTGCCGTGACTTGCCAAGTCCTTACTATGTGCTTGGAGCTGTACTAAGCAGACCGTCGTTGGCCCCTGCACAGCCTTGGGGCTCCGTATGAGTTGCTGCACTGCCACATGTACATCTGTATGTTCAGAATTTCACATATATGAACGTATTCCAGAGCAACCCCCTCTTCTGAGCTACCCTGCCCCAGGAATAGCGTTCATCTCTGTGCTAGGCCCCCTTTCCTCCCAATAACCCCTGCTAATCACTGTCTGCAGACACCAGTGTGCATACTAACCCCCAGACAAGCATGAATACCCACCCACAAAAACCCAAGCCCAGGCCCTCGGGGACTAATTCGTTTCTAGTTTTTGTTCTTCCCTGTTCCCATAAGTTATCCCGACCTGCCTTTCCAGTCTAGAAAGAACTTTGTTCTTTGTTCTTGAAATACATTCTTTAGCTGCCCGCTTCCCTTGATTTGAAGTTTGGTTTTGTATTTATCAAAAGAAGAGGAGCAGGAACCAGAAGGCTTTCCACCTAGTAGAAACCGAGGGAGTCCGTGAGTGACCCGGGCTAATACATGACACAGGCTTCAGATGATTTCAGAAAATGTTTTATTAGTCAAGAGCATGGATACTGCTTTGGCAAAGGGAGGGGGGCTGTGAGTGGTCACACAGACTTGAGGTAGAAAAGGGTTGGGGATCGCAGGATGAACAAACACCTGAGCACAACAGGCATGGTAGGTAGTTTAAATACATAAAAACTTTCCAACACAGAGAAAGCTTTTATTTAGATAGAAACAAAAAGGAAGGAAAAGAAGGAAGAAAAGAGAGAAAGTGTTTCCATTGGAACTAAACAGGAAGTGCAGCGACAAAAAGAAAAATAAAACCACCACTATTCAAAGAAGAACAAAAGGCAGCCCTTCATCTTCCAACGTCTGGTTCTCTTTCCCAGGCAGAAAAGAATTGATTCCTTATTGCATTTTAATTAGAGGAGGGGGCGTCCGGGCAGATCGTTCGGAGGGACAACAGAGAAAGAGCCCGATAAGGAAATGGGGATGGGGATGGGGTTCTAAATTCGCCCCAGAAGGGTGGAAGAATGCGTTTTTGAGCTCTTGGGTTCGGCAGTCCCTCCTTCTGGCAAGGTGTCGCCAGGAGCCGCCCTCCGCGGGGTGGATATATATAAATTTCTCTTTCTCTTAATGTATTTAAAAAATTTCAAAGGACATTGCACGTGCGATCCAAGTGTGTGGTTGCAGCCGACGACCTGCCGGCGCTCAGCAGAGGCTCCGCGGGATGCATGGCACCAGCCGCCGGAGCCCAGAGCCCGGCGCTCGCCGCTGCCTTCCTCTCCTCCCGGGGCTCCAGGGGTGGCTAGCCTGGCCAGGTCCTCAGCGCGGGCCTCGCCTCACTGGTTTAACTCCAGCGCCCAGACTTGCTGCGGCCAGCCGGTGCGTCCTTTAATCCTCTTCTCGCCTGGGCCCAGGGCAGGAGGAAAGCCTTCGTGCTGCTGCTGCCAAAGGACACACACAAAAAAGAGGCGGGAGAGACAGGTTTTAATTTTTCTGCTCCGAACGCCAGGCTTGGGGTAAGATGAGGGGCGGGGGGAAGGTGTCGGGAGCAGTAACTGGGAGTCTTTAAATAAGTGACGGATTTCTGTTTGCGAAATAGGCAAACAGGCTCGTAAATTTGCCTTTATGCGCGGAGTTCCTGGGACCCGGAATGGTGCTGGGCAGTTTCGGAAGGTTTGGTAAGGAGAATGTTCTGCGTCTGGTGAAATTGACAGCGCGCTCTGGTTTGGCTTTAGGAAACCTAAGGGAGATCGCAGAGGGTTGGGAGGGAGGGGTGAAAAACCACGCATCTCCAGCTCTCACTGCCCCCAACACACTTCGGCCAGCCTCCCAACCTGGTTTAAACAGTGGTGCTGGGATGCAGGCTTGGGGCGTCTAAGCCGGAGCTGGGAGCCTCAGATGAGGAGGCGAAAGAGAGGAAAGTTGGCCTGGCCTAGCGTCCTCCTTCCCGCTCTTTCAGCAGGAACGAAGCCGTACTACTTAAAGGAAGCCACGACGCGTGGGGGAGCAGGATCCGCCCAATAACAAAGTCTGTCGAGGCGCCGCCCGGCCTGCACCATCCTCAGTCCTGGGCAGCCTTTCAGAAGCTCGATGCCTATCAGTCTTTCCCCCGTCCCAGGATGAGCTTTCCTCAGTTTACCACAGACCCACGTAAGTTAGATAAAATCTAGTGGGGCACTTCAGTTGGCTCCATTCCGCTGCGGCCTTTAGCGCCCCAACCTAGAGAAACTAATTGGCCAGCCTGAAAATCTAGCGCTCAGAGGCCTCCAGGCCGGGACAGCCAAGCCGAGTGCCAGGAAGTGTTATCCTAACTAGAGAGGATCAAGAAGGCCAAGACGACACTGGACACTGCGATCTCCAAAGCTAAAAGAAGTGGCTCTTATTTACATGCAAAGCCACTGAAGTTGTCCTCAGAACCAGTCCATGGGGAGTGGAACGCGCTCTGGACTAAGAAGACCCGATCTGTTTTACCTCAGCTCCACCCCAGACTCCTCAGATAGGTGCTCTTTGTGTCCTGACGCACTCTGGGTCCTCAATTTCCCTATTTGCACAGTGATGGAAGTAAACTAACCTGTCCACCAAAGGCCCTTTGAAAACAGGAACTGAGCCCAGGCACATAAATTCACACTCCAAGTAAAGAACTCTAACATATATTCTTAACCTGGCTTCCAAGAGAGCCAAGGAATTAATCAGGATTTCTCCAAATTGGAAGCAAAATCTGTGGTGTGTTCCTTTTGGTGGGGGAGCGGGTCCGAGGCCCCAAACAGATTATTCACTCAGTATTACAAACTCTATCCCATACTACAAACGAATTCTGTGACGAGTCTGCCTCCCTCCACGCACAACATCGCACACTGTGACCATCTCAGAACTCTTCCCAGCCTTTCAAAATCGTACACACGACAGCACAGCCTCCTTCGACTGCATGCATGGCCTGAGCGTGCTCACCGCGCCTGCACCCTTGGCTGGAGCGAGCGAGCCGCAGGACTCACCAGCTCCCTTTTCCGCTTGCTCTCACGGCCGCCATCCGCCTTCTTGAGTTCAGCCTTGAAGGCCTCGGGATCGCCAGACTGTGCATCCTTGGCCAGCACATCCATCAGGTAGGCGATGTAGCTGGTGGCCAGGCGCAGAGTCTTGATCTTGGACAGCTTGGTGTCGGCAGGCACGTTGGGGATGCACTCGCGCAGCTCAGCGAATGCGCTGTTAATGCTCTCCGTGCGTCTCCGCTCCTTCTTGGGTCCTGAGCCTTTCCGCCGGCCCAGGCGGCCGCCAAGCGCCTCCAGCCGCCCGGGGCTCTGGCCAGGCCTGGCGTCAGGACCAAAGGAGGCGGCGGCGGCGGCGGCGGCGGCGGCCGCGGGCGGTGGCCCGCCGGCAGGGAAGTCCGGGGCAGCGTCAGCCGGGCTCAGCAGCCAGCTCTGGAAGTAGGGCCGTTCCTGGTGACAGCGCGAGGCCGGACCGAAGAGGAAGGGCTCGTGGAGCATAGGGTGCACAGGGTGCGGGTGGTGATGGTGGTGATGGTGTGCGTAGCTGCCCACGAGGTTCATGTTGGAGCGGCTCCTGGCCTGCGCCGCCAGCCCTTTTAACACCGCTCCATGCGCCCCAGAGACTGCCGGGGGGCTACCTGTGGGCTCTGGAGCCGCCCGCTACTGAGCGCCGGCCTTGGGAGAGTAGGGACAAGGCTGAAGATGAGACGCGCAGCCCACAGTCTTCTTGCCGGTTTCTGTCGTGGGCGAGGACTCCAATGCCCAAAGACCTGTTTAACCCTTCTGCGGACTCCCCTGCAGGATCTGGCTTATATAAGACCGCAGCTTTGATGTCAACCTCTCCCGGGAGCCAATGGCAGGGGGGCGGGGATAAGGAAAGGGGGGTGGCTGTCCCAGGTTTTACGCTCAGCCTGCGCTACGCTAGTCCGCCAGCGGGGACTGGGAACCGGCCCCGCCTCTGTCCCTCCCACTCAGTTCCCGGCTTGGGTGTGGGGGTTGGGGGGAGCGGCTGGGGATGTTGAGGGCTTGGACGCGGGGACTACATACTTGAGGCACAGGCCTGCCAACGCCCTGGACTGTTGCTCCCACCTCCTCCCCACGGATCCAAGGAAAGGAATCTAGAATCACCAAGCGAAAAGGAGGCCTACATCTAGAGCCCGCCCTTTGATTTTACAGATAAGGAAATTGAGGCTCAGGGAAAGAACGGTTCCCGTTTCTAGACTCTAGAAGCCTAACTAGGAATTCCAGCAGTTCCCAGTCTCGAGCTCCTACTGCCCCTCTCGGCTTCAGAGATAGAAGACGAGAGGGCGCTGCAGAAGGCAGGATAGGCCCATAACATTCTTCCCAAACACCTTCCAGGCCCCCACCCCCACCCCTTAGTCGTCGGCCCTTTCTGGCGAGACTAGGAGCCGCATGTGCATGGGGTGGTTAACAGCCCGCCAATTCTGACCCAGCCGCGGGCTGACAGCGAAGAAGCCTTTTGGAGGCAGGGGTAGGGGTGGAGGGAAGGAGGAGGCGGACTCCAAGCCCACGGGCACCTACCGGTTTGTTCCCGGCTTGAGGGCCTGAGATCCACTCAGGCCTCCCAGGTGCCTGATCCAGTTCGAAGGCCAGCCTTGCTGGCGCACAGACAGCCTGGCGTCTGCCTTGGCTCCGGGGCATCTGACCAGCAGGTCTCCTCTGGTCTCTCCCTAGACTCGCACCAAGACCTGGAAGCGTGACTAGGTCAAGCCACTCTACCCAGATCTTCACTCGGTGAGAATCTTTGTTTCTTTAAAGACACCGGCCCCGAAGCTCACACCGCGAGACACCGGCATTCGGCGGTAGACGCAAGCAGAGAGCACCACGACTTGTAAGCATCCACGAGGCTCGTACAGGCAAAAGCAACGTCCAGCATCTCTCACGCACCCTCGCAGCCAACCCTCCGAGATTTCATGTCGGGGGTAGGGCCATTCCCTGCCGGCCCGTCTCTCCCCGTTGGGGGCTTTCCCCAGCCTCAAGTTGGAACCTGGGAATCCCGGAGTGGCGCCGCTTCAGTCTGGGTCGTTGTCTTACCTCCCGCTGTGGCTCCTTCCCAGCTGCTGTCCACGTACCTAGGTCCCTCATTCTCTCAACGTTTCCCAGCTCAACACCCCTCCCTCGGTGTGGTAGAGGTAGTGTGCCTCTCTCCAAAGCAAAGTCGAGGGGAGGGGAGGAAAGGAGTTTTATGTGAGTGCTCTTTTTAGAGGGCAAATCATTCATCCATTCATTCAACAATTATTTATTGGCGCTTACTATGTGCCTGGCACAGTTACTAGTCCAAAGGCAGAGGGAGAAAGACCCACTCTCTCCTTGAACAGATACGGAACGCGAAGCCCAGAGAGGACGAGTGATTTTCCTCGAGGTCCGGTAGGGAGTGCATGAGTGGAATTCCACTCCTGGACAAGGGAGTGAATGAAGGGTGGGGGGTGACACACGGAGAGATGTGGACAAACGCCTAAGCCTGCTGGTTCCACCTGTGGGAGCTCAGCAGGACGGTGAGCCCTGGAGGTGCATGGGGCTGAGGTGCAGGGAGGTTCTGGTTTCCTGCTCTAGGCGGGCTGGAAACCCCCGGCTCTCCCCGCGCCTGGCGCCAGCAGCGCTGGGGTAGGGCAGAGCGCGGAGCCGGAGGCAAGCGGCTAGGGAGCGCTGGGCGCCGGCTGCTGCGGCGGCTCTGCGGGGTCCCGAGCTTCCCCGGCCTGGAGGCTCCGTAGAGAGAGCGCATGTAGAGAGAGTAATTACACTATGGAGACAAGGACCTCAACACACAGTCCTCAACACACACCCAGTCTTTGTCCTAATCCGAGCACAATCTGCAACTCCGCCTCTCATAGAGGCACACTAGGCCCTCGGATTACACACACACAGATACATGCACCCAGGCTCACACAACTTTGCCGCCATACACTAAAGCCCATATCTTCATAAGACGTCCAAAAGTATGTGTATACTCACAATAATACTCACACCCACGGCACACGCAGCGTTCATGCATTCCTAGGATTTTACACATTGTTTCTCTGTCACCCACAGGGTACATACGCACCAGCTTCAGATGTGACACAGCTAGGAGCTATTCCCAATCCTCCACGCAGGCATGCACAGAGACCAAAGTTATGTAGTATAAACACATAGATTCTGAATGCTACACAGATGCAGGGTTTTACACATAATTTCATTGTCACAATTAAAACCAGCTTGTATCTTCCTAAGATTCTCTACAATTGCATTCACAGCACAAACTTCCAAAATCCCATCATACATAATGTATATTCTCATTGTCACCACTAAGCCTTCAGTGCACACATACACAGCCACAATTTCTACTGTGTACACACAGGTGCTCACAAACAGAGGTACTCACATTCTCACACATAACACACATACAAATATGTGGCCCACGTGCCCACCCATATGAGTCCCAGTTGCTTTCATGATACTACACAGATCACTCAAGGTTGTATACACCCCCCGTATATCTGGCCTGGTTAGCGTGGTGGGGAATGCATTATCAGTACTGGGCGAGGAGTCCCAATCCCATGAGACCCCTTGAGGGCCCCTGAGACTACCCGGCAGCCCGCCAGGGGTCTTAAAGAGCAGAGTGTCTCCAGCCAGCAGTGAAGTGGAAAGCACTGTTCCCCAACCCACAGAAGGATTCAGTGTCATTTCTTAAGTAGTGCCCCCACGAGAAACTCAGCTGTAGGGCACCTCCTGAGGCTTGGGGTTGGGCAGTCCCCAGCAGGATGACCTTGGGGGAGATTGAAGTACAGCTAGGCTCTAGACTCTGCCTTTTGGGAGACCCCAAAATGCTTTACTCCAGTCCAAGGACAGCAGCAGAACTTCCGGGAAGGTGGGGACCCTGTAAGGTTGTTGCCTATCTCTATCCCAGGCAACAGTGTTGGAGGAGGTCTGAGACCTAGAATTTTAGCTAAAATTGCTTTAGGATGACAGACAAGAGATGTGACAGGCAAGAGTTCAGGCTCTGCCTAATTAGCATTTCACTTTGTTCCTTTTCAGTTCTGAGCCTCAGTTTCCCCATTTGCAGAAGAAGGGAATAGGATTGATAGTCTGGAATTCTGGAATTCCCAGCTCCCCACTGTCTCAGGGACCCTGCCCTGGTTCCTCTTGGGACTTAGCGCTCACATCAGGGGTCCCCACAAGAGGACTCCACCTTCCTCTAGCCTATCTCAACAGACCAAGGACTAGCACTTCCAGGGTCCTAGTCCCACACCTCACCCCACCTGCAGCCTTCCCTTAACCCACCTTGCTCACCTAAAGAGTGCCTTCAGGAGGTTTGGCCTTCTTAGCATTTTCAAATGGAGGCTTCTCCGTTCTTCCCCCAGTTGTGCTGGTGAGACCCGGCAGGAGTTCTTCCGTACCCTGCTTTACAAAGTCCAGGGCTTACAAACATAAAGCACATTCCACCTTGCTGTGGAATCGGGCCCAATGGGTTAAAACTGGATACATTACTCCTCCCCGTGTGAAGCTTCTATGCCTCAGTTTTCTCTTCTGTAAATTGGAGGACAATAATCTCTGTAGAGGGCTGGCATAAGACTAAGCACAAGGCGAGGCTCTCAGCCCAGTGACAGTTACTTGGATAAATGGTGGCTCTGCTTTTAGGAATATTAATTTCACAGGAGAGGAAACTGAGTTACATGCCGCCACAAGACTACAAAGCTCTGGATGGGGAGAAGAGACCAGGACAGTGATCCTCCTTGCAGGACTCTGTTCTGACCTGACCTAGCTGCTTCCGACTGCCTTAGGGTCCTTCCCTTTCCCTACTGACCTTACACAAGCCATCATAAGGCTGGAGGTAGAGAGATGTCGCTAGGCGTGGGGATTGTGTTGCCAGAGACCCGAATTCCAGTTCCAGATTCCACCCTCCACCCTCATTTCCTTCCCTAAATGACTTGGTGGGGGGTGTGGTCTGGCCACCTACGGGACTCAGTTCCCTCATCCATAACAGTGGGACAGCTGTACCCCGGCAAGGCGAAGGTCCTTCAAGCCTGGACGTTCTGCAGTGGTGAGGTCCGGCTCTTGCCCTCGCCCCTCTTCTCCCCTCGCCCCTACCCGCGCCCCCCGCACTGGCAGGCCTCTAGGAGCCCAGACCGCGGCGCCTACCGCAAAACCTTCTCCCGCCGCGTCCCGTGACCTTGACGCCACGGGCAATCCCCGCACCGGACCCCTTATCTAAATAGGGCAGTAAATCAAGGACCTGTCAAGGCCCGGGTAATTACAGGAACTCCATAAAAAGGACCCGGCCGGCCGCCTGTTTATATTAGCGCGGTGTAAAATATTCTCGCTGTCTTGGGGAATCGCGTCGCGCAGTAACGCGCCATAAATCAGCCCGCGGACCCTTTACCCCGCAGCTTGAGCGCGCAAATCCCTTAAACATTTCTCTGCCATATCTAAAGAGGACCTAGGACTTTCCAATCTGGCCCAGCCTGCTCCCCTGGATGGTGGACAGTCGGGGCAGGGAAGAGATAGTCACGAAGTAGATTGCTCCTGGGAGCGCCAAGGTTCTGTTTGCAGACAGAAACGAGCCCAGAGAGGGGAAGGAACTTTCCAAAGGGCACGCAGCCAATGAGTGGCAGACGCCCAGCTGGAGCCCACATCTCCAGAGGGGACCAGGGGTGAACAGCGGCCTTTGTCTCCCCTTTTTACCTTCTTTCCTGAGATATGATCAGGCCAGAGAGGGTCCAAGCAGAAAGTGACATTCTTTACCTTTTGGCTAGGTGGTTCCTGAGCTTCCTGCCATTGTGCACAGAATTATGTGTCAATGCTTTTCTTCGCAACCGTGGCCTCAGATTACTGGCAAAACACAGGCCCAGAGGATGGGGAGGGCCTTGCTCAAGGGCACACAGCTAGGAATCAAAGACCCTCCCCTGCCAAAATAATTCATTCTGGTTTACCTCCTCCCCATACTTTCCTAAAGAAAAACTGAGAGAGT